TAAATTCTACCTCTGGCCTAGTGTGGGGACCTGGCAATCTAAGCCTCCACAGACATTATACACTATAGTTTTCTCCCTTAGGAGTCAATCCAGCTGGGCTTGTCAATCACCTGGCAAGAGTCCACCCAGCCCTGCCCCAGGAAATCTGATTCACCAGAAGTCACCTAAGAGAAGGGAAAGACTAATTAGCCCCTAAATGGGATCATGTGTTTGTCCCTCCCTGAAACCCTACCTTAGTGCAAACTGTCACAGAGCTTCCAGCCTGTAGTGCTGTGGAGCCCGCCAACTTTATTTAGGTTTATTTAGGAAAGGGTAATTTTTCTTTTTCCTTCTTTTCTATCTCTCATATGCTATTCTCTCAGATGCTCATAAAAATAATCCTCAAATTCCTTCTGAGTCCTAAGGCAGGGACCCCAATCTCCCCAGTAACACAGGAAATGATGGCTGGACAGAGCTGCTAGAGAGGGAGACCCCACTTGGGAAAAGGGGGTGGGCTTCATTCATTTGCCAAGATGAGAGAGGGGACCAGCCAAGACAACCCTGGCAACCTGGACTTGATCTCCTGAGCTGATATGATGGAAGGACAGAACTGACCTTTCAAATTGTCCTTTGACCTACACACACACACACACACACACACACACACACACACAATGGCAAGTGCATGCACAACCCCCCCATACACACATACACACCACTCACACAAATACATAAATAAATGTAATTTTGAAATGTTTTAAAAAGAAATCTGAGCTGGGTAGTTCAGTGGTGGCACACACCTTTAATCCCAGCACTCAGGAGGCAGAAACAGGCAAATCTCTGTGAGTTTGAGGCCAGCCTGGTTTGTAGCTTGAGTTCTAGGACAGCTCCAAAGCTACAGAGAAACCCTGTCTGGGAAAAGAAAGGAAGAAAGAAAAAAAGGAAGGAAGGAAGGAAGAAGGAGAAGGGGAGAGGAGGGGAATGCGAGGGGAAGGGAAGGGAGCAGCATGCAAAGGTCTAAAGAACTAAAGAGAGGTGGGCAGTCTGGGACAAATGGGCAGGAGAAGAAGGAGGGACAGTTGAACTGGAAAGGAAGCAGGGCCATGCAGGACAGGGTAGCAGGGACCAACTGAGACTTTCCATGTTGGGACTGGGTGGAGGGTTTATGGAAGTGGAATGGGGTGTGTTCTCAGAGGCTCCTTGTTAAGGAATACATGAGAAGATCTAATGAGGTCCTTCATGCTGAGGAAGCACCCATGCACAGTCCCCTCAAGGCCCAGGGGCCTCCCCCAGAGTAGACAAGGAAGACTACTCACCAGGCTGCTCGTCAGCTGACAGGGACTCTGGCCTCTGCCCTTGCCACCAGCAGGCCATGTGTGGAGTGTCTGGGTTGACTGACCCAACATGAAGATGGCTTGGGCCTGAGGCTTAGCTAGATCCCAACTCAAATGACTGCCCTCCAGTGACCTTAGTAAAGTCCTAATCCTCTTGACAAACATCCTCTAACAGAGAAATAATGCTGGTTGGCCTGCCAGAGTATGACTAGTATCAACAGAGACTTCCAGGCACTACACTTGAAAGTCCCCGCTCGTGACCAAGTGCCAGCAGTCTCACTTGTCTGAATGCAAATCCCAAAAGTGACCCATTTTTCAGCCCTGACAGGGCAGGAAAGTGAGTTGTCCCTTGACCACACCACACCATTCAGACACAGCTGTTGTACCTGCTCTCAAGTATACTGAGCACAAGGCCCAGAGCCCCAGCATAAATCAAAGCACTTAACGCTAAGCCATGGTTTTTCCTACCTCCCACTCTTTCAATATGTCTACAAGCTGGCCATTAGCAGGACCTTTTTAACTGATGGTGAGGCTGAAGGTACACGAGGGCCCTGGCAGTCAGGTGGCCTGAAATCTGACCTACAGCCCTTCAGGATAACAGCTTAGCCAGGAGAGGAGATGCCAAGAAACTGCAAACTCAGAGGACATGGAATGCAAGCAGTGTGTAGCAACCAGGACTGACTGTGACGCCTACCCACAGGCAGGGCCTAGACCTGCTGGTCAGTACTAGAGGGGAGGCTTGTGTACAAAGAATGTGGTCACAACACTGGCCCCAGCTGGCTTAGATCCTGGTAGAAGAATCCCAGTAGAGCTCCAGGGCTGTGTGCCTTACCAGACCAAGCCAGCAGATCTAGAGCCCTGCCCCTCACCCCACCCTACTCTTATAGACCCTGACAGATGGAAGCTCTGCTGGAATTTCCCTAGACCACAATACCAGGGGCTAGAGAACACATCGCTCCTTCTCTGCTCAGCTAGATCATCCACATCTGTGGAATGAGGAGCCCCTGGGTCTGTGCTGGGGCAGAGGGTTAGAGATCTACCCACTCGTGGAAGCACTTTGCACAAAGGAAGGGATTTCTTCAGCACAGGCTTTGGCCATGGAGATCCCAGAGTCTGAGCCCTGGCACAACAACAGCAATTTCCAGAAAACAAACCAGCACAGGTCCTACTAGCTGCATTCATCTGCACTCTATTCTCAGCTCCAGCCTCACCCTGGCCTCATTGTGCCACCAGTCTGACTTGTGCTAGGGGAGGGCGTCTTTTAGTTCCTGGCCCTCCTCTCAGAGGAAACACAGTTGCCCATCTCAGGGCCAGGCTTCCTCTGTCCGAAGGAGCTCTGGAAGGGTCCTGGATATACCTGTAGGAATGGCTGCTCAGTGCTACTGTGTGGAAGAAGGGCAGGGCAGTAAGAGCCAAAGAAGGAGGCAGAGGTGGAGTGTGGAGGGAGTGGGAACTGTCCATGGAAAAGGCTGAAATCCTACCCAGGGGTCTGAGAGGAGGCCATGCTGTCTCTTCTCAGCAATGTTGCAGCCATGTCCTACTCTGTTCCTGAAGATGAGCTCCCACGCCAGGAAGTGCTATGGTCCAGTCTGCAGGGGCCAGAAGATGTGTGAATGCTCGGCATGTGGCAGAGGCAGGCAGGAGACAATGAGACACACATCTCAACACAGTTGCATTCAAAGAGATCAAAATGCATTTAATGTGGTCTAGTCTCGTTGCCTACATCTTTAGTTGCCACTATGTATTGAAAATAACATGAAAATTCTCCAGTTTCACCATTTAAAATAGATTGAACATTCTAGACCTCACACAGGGCAGACACCCCTACAGGGGCCTCCCCATGGTGTGTTCTTCTGCCCCCAGGCCCTCAGCTGCACAAGGGCCAGGTGGCACAGCACCAGCATGGGCTCAGGGCAGCCGCTTCATTCTGTGCAGCTCTCTCATGCTGCACGCAGCACCCACCCCACTGACACCCACACACACGTACCCTGGGACCTCCAGGCACTCACACATGTTCCCATGCACAGATGCACTCGTGGTCTCCTTCAGGACCTGGTGCAGAGGCATCAGACTCCCCAGACTGCTACACACCTCGTACAGCCTGCATAACCAGGGCAGGGCAGGGACTCAAGTTGAACTGTGATTATGTCTGTGGCCAGCACCCAACCTGACCAGTTCAGGTTGGTGAGCACCAAACCCATCTTACCCCAATTTAAAACAAACAAACAAAACAAAACAAAAACAAGCACACACATACCTGTGGGCAGACACACACACAAACTACCTGTATACAAACACCTGTGTATACCATATGTCTGTGTACCAAGACTTGCACACAGGGAGACGATCATGTGAGCACATCTGTGCATGGATGCACACACACCCTGGCTTCCCTCCTCATGCGCTCCCCAGGGGCCAAGCTTTCCTGCTTGGCACAGGCACATGGCTCCCCTCTCAGTGGCCTCCCCCATTAGGTGCACTAAAGAGAGGGGCTGGTTTGGTCTTTAGCACAAGCAATAAATAAATACAGGGAAAGGGAAAAAAGAGGGCAGGAGAATTTGAGAATACAGCATCTGCCTGCCTTTGGCAGAGATGAAAGGCAGCTTGAGCTGCTCTCCAGCAGGGCCCAGGGAATGGACCGTTCTGGCAGGCCTGGGCTGGGAGGAGGATGGGCCAGAGTGCTGAATGTTTCAGGCCACTGAGATGAGGTGGGAGCAGGCCTTGGGGGATCAGGAGCCCCTAGACCCTACTCTAGATCAGGAGGCCCACCTACTCAGGAAGAACAACAGGTACCTAGGCTCCCACAGTGGAACGGGGTGGCCAGGACCTACCCTTCTTCCCTCCCCAACCCTCAGCCTGACAACTGGACAGAGGTGGGTGAAGCCAAGCACCCCCACACTGAATGTACCCTCGGGCCCCAGGGCCAAGGCTAAAAATGTCAGTGAGATTTGGGGGCAGAGGCCAGGCTTAGAACTAAAAGGAGCCAAGGCCTCTGCAGCAGGTCCTAAGCAGACTCTCCTAAGCTAGAGGTTAGCATGAAATCTTAAACTGAATTCCTGGGAGCAAGCCCACCACAGGGCTCCCTGACTGGGCAATAGGGGAAGACTCCATGGCTTGGGTCCTCGAGGAAGAAAAGCTCCATCACAGGCCCCTAAAGGCTAAACAGAAATGCTTTGTTTTATGGTATTTTTCTGGTCATCTCTATGGTGGCAGGGGTCCTGTGGGGGCTGAGGGTGTGTTCCTCTCCTTTCCTAGACTCTGTCTTCCAGCAGCAGATGACTGGCTGGGGCCAGCTGGGCTACCTCATTCTGCCCCAGAAGTGTTTGTGAGGGCTTCAGGAGTGGAGTTACGGGCAGCAGGGAAAGATTGGACAAGTCCGATAAAACCAAAAATGAAAATGACGGAAGCCAGACAACCAGAGTGTCTAAGGCACAACTCAAGCTTGAGTCCAGTGGGGGTGCAGCTGACCCACTTCCTAGGAATGTGGGAACTAGACCCCATGCTGTTTCCTGGGTGTCCTTTCCTAAGAAGCACCCACTCTGGTGTTTCCTCCTGCCCCTCACTGCAGGGGTGGGGACCCTCAGGTAGAGAGGAGTATAACAGGGGTACACTGAAGGGGGGCTCCCCTGGGCCCTAAACCCAGCCCTGATACAGCTGAGCTGCAAAGTCAGACACAAAAGATCAAGCCAGATTCATCCTAGTGGGCCCCCACCCCCAGAGACATCCAGACACTTTATTAGGATCATTAACATGGTCACAAGCCTGATTCATCCTCAAGCATGACAACTTGCCGGGCCCTGGCACGTGTGAGGGAAGACACCAGACCTCCGAGAACCTTCAGGGCTCTCCATCCAGCTGCTTGCCTGGCAGCTCTGAGTAGAATTCTAACTGTTCCCACACCATGATTTTTAAAAATTCAACCACATGTTAGTGTTTTTGTGTGTTTTTTTTTGTTTTTGTTTTTGTTTGTAAACAGTCTTATCCAAGTTAAAAACCAATGAAGTGTGCATACAACACAGCTTTCTCCCACCAGGGCTGGGGCCTCTCCTGAGCTGCTTCCAAGGCCTCCAGCAGAGTCCCCCATTCCTGTGGTTCACCTCCTTGCCCAGGCTTATACATCTGAGGCCACAGGCTGTTCACTCTGATCACCCACTCTCCCGCCAACTTCCCTCAAGCTATTGCGGAAAAAACATGAAAAGACTAAGGATGCTACTGAGTCTGTGACCCGAGGCATTTGGCTTGCTCTGCTCAAACCCAGGTCCCCAGGGGGCACGGGACCCATCGTGGTCAGGATGGTGTTGCACCTAAGTCAAGGGCACTCAAATCTCTGACTCCCGTCTGTAGGGCCGCTGCTCAAGGGTACCACTGCTGGCCTGTAGTCTGTCAAAGTCATGCTCCGGCTGAGGGCTGCGGCCATCCCGGTCTGTAGCCACCTCATCCTCTTCATCTCGGCTCAGGAAGGCCAGCTCATTCTCATAGCAGAAAGAGTTGGCACTGGGCAGAAGGAACTTGTTCTCCACCAGGTCCTTGGCACTGCAGCGGGGCGTGGAGGGCACCTCATAGGTCTTGTGGAAGTGTGAGTAGTCAATTTTGTACTGGTTCTTCTCCTCGAAGAGCACTGGCTCAAAGCGGTGGCCCCACAGGATCTCGTTAGCCAGGTAGGAACTTCGAGCCTGTGTGGTCATGGCTGTGGCCTCTACCATGCCTTCTAGGATGACCACAATCTCAAAGTCATCTGTCTCGAGGTCCTGACGGCTAATGCCAAACAGTGGGCTGGCCTCGTCAATCTCGTGCAAGATGGTGATGGGTGATACCAGAAAGATACGGTCTAGGCCCTTGTCAAAGCCCACGTCAATGTCAATCTGGTCTAGTGGGATGTACTCACCCTCCTCCGTGACCCTGGGCTTGATGAGCTGGGCCCGCACATGGGCCTCTACAATGTGGCTCTTGCGAAGGTTGCCCACGCGCCACATCAGGCAGAGCTTGCCGTCACGCAGAGCCACCACAGCATTATGGCTGAAAAGCAGAGTCTGCGCTCGCTTCTTGGGCCGTGCCATCTTGGCCATGATGGCACCAATCATGAAGGAGTCAATGATACAGCCCACAATGGACTGTGCCACCACCATGAAGACAGCCACGGGGCACTCCTCAGTCACACAGCGGAGCCCATAGCCAATGGTGGTCTGGGTCTCAATGGAGAAGAGAAAGGCTGCCATGAAGCCATGGACCTGCAGCACACAGGGTGTACGGCCACGGCCCTCGGCTGGCTCCAGGTCTCCATGGGCAACAGCAATGACCCAGAAGATAATGCCGAACAGCAACCAGGAGGCAAGGAATGCCAGAGAGAAGATGAGCAGCATGTAGCGCCAGCGGATATCCACACACGTGGTAAACATGTCAGCCAGGTAGCGCTGTGACTTCTCATCCATGTTGGCAAACTCAATGTTACATTGGCCATTCTTCTTGACAAAACGGTTGCGGCATCGGCGCCGTGTATGCACCTTGCCATTGCCAAAACCGTTGGCGCCTGACATGGTAACCAGGTGCAGCCCGTCCTCCTCTGATGATACGATGCTGTAGGGGTTGGCCCGGCTGGCTGCGGTCATCCCGGGGTCTGGTGGACCCTGGCCTGCCCCCAGGCTGACTCCAGGCAGGGGGACTTCTGCAAAAGAGAGGACAGTAGGTCTGTCTGGGCAGGCAGCCAGGGCCCATGACAGTAACTGGCAGACACAGCCCCCATTTAGTCTCCACAGATCCCCTGTCTTCCCTCCCACTTGAAGCCTGCTCCTCAATCCACCTTCTCAACTTGGAAAACAGTCTGCCCAGACTTCTAGCAGCTCTAGCCAGAAACCTTGGCTTCCTCTCATCTAGTCTTACTCCTATACCAAGGGCTCTACTTTCAAATATATTTATACTTCTCCCACTCTCATAGCCCAAGTCCTGGTCACCTCCAGCCTGGACCAAGGCAGGCACCATCTCACCAGCCTCACTTCATCTGCCTTACTCCCAGTCCCCATGGCAAGCACCAGGAGCCTGAAAGGCACCAAGCAGAATCCCTTCCTTCCTCTACTCACAGCCCCAGACCCTAGGAACTGCAAAGTCTATACAGGCAGTCCCACAGCCTCGTTGCCCAGTTGAGCACATTCACATACCCCACACATGCTACACACACACACACACACACACACACAGCAGTGCTACTGTATATCATACTACGCCCCCATGCTATCATGACAGGCCTCCCTCCTCATGCCCTAGACGTAATGCACACACTGCACTCCCCTGCACAGATCCTCATGTAGGATATCAACAGCAGCAATCATGATAGCTGTGACATCTGTCTGTTTTTCCCACTAAGACAACCAGCTCCCTCATAACAGGCCATTTATAGGCCTCACTGTTTTACCCCAGATCTAGAAGAGTCTGCCAAGGCCCAGGCCTCATCATGTCTGACAGTTCACGTTCACTTTGCCCATCTTCGTGAAATCCACAGCATCCATTAATCCCCCTCAGACTATACCCATGACTTTTCTATCATGGGGTCATATGGTATAAGGGGTAGCCCTATAGTAGACACCCAGATTGTGTCTCCTAAGATTTTCCTAACTCCAGAACAGGCAACTTCCCCCATCTCTGCTGAGGTCTACAAACCTCCCAACTATCACCTGCTTCCATTACCTAAATCTTTGGCCTCCTGCAGGGAATACCGTATCTCCAGGACAGCCTAACACACACTCCTCCCAGAGAAGGCCTGAAGAATGGCACCATGGACAGCAAAACAAACCCATGTCTCAGGCCCAGGCTTTGCACACACCCCCACTGACCCACAAGGCCAGTGCCAGTCTAAGCCAGGGATCACAGGCACTGCCTGCCTCTGGATACTCTGGCCCGTCTCAGCTGGACTAAGCTGAAAGTCTGTCCTCTGGTGTAGCAAAACATTGATGAGCTGGACATGCTGCATCTCCCCATCACAGGGATGCCATGCACCCCAAGACCCACCCAATTACATCACAGTTTAGAGTCCAACACAGCCTTGGGGCCCTCAATCACCTGACATCACTAGGAAGCCAAAGAGATCCCAGAAGAAGATCCCAGAGTAGCTGGGTACCTAGGGCTGGCTAAATGCTATTTGGGCTTTCTGCCCTTGAACCCTTGAGGGTGGAACAGCCCATTTTCCAGACAAGGAGGCTCAGAACAGGAAAACACTTGCCCGGTACCTGTAGGCATAGGTAGCATTGCAACCCCATTCAGACAGCACAACCCCTGGCCACATCTACATCTGAGGCTCAGAGGGACACAGCCTGAAGACTCTGCTGCCAACATAGGGGTATGAGTGGAGACCATTAGGCCAGCCAGATCGGGAAGCACACCCAGGTCTATGCCATAAGCCACAGTGCTGTTGAGTCCTGAATCCTGGCAGACACAAGACACAGCCACAAAGCCTGAGAACCACAGAAAGCCTACTAGGCATGGGGTGAAACACATCCAAGACCCTCAAGTCATCCTCTAACAGCCATAGAGGGTTTCAAAGAGGTAAAGGAACGCCCAACCAAGACATAGGGGCATCAAGCAGGAGAGCTGAGATCCAAACCTCGTGTCTAATGCAAAGTTCCTACCATGTGTCCTTAGACTCTACAGGCCACCAGTCCTCACCCTGACATCCGCCCCTACAGCTGTGTCAGTTGACGGCCTCACCATGGGTCTGTGTAGCTGAGGCTTGGGGCTGCAATGGTGGATGCTGTTTCTGTCTGGGCCAGGAGGCAGAGGGTTGGCGGGGCTGGGGAACCCAGGGACCATTCTGGCAAGACATCTCAGCCCCAGATTTCTGAGCCTTCCAGGGGAAGGTGGCCAAGGATGGGGTACTCAGATGCCGGGGGGAGGCTGTCAGATCCCAGGAGCCAGGTTTGTGTGGCCTAGAGGCCTTGAGGGATGTCCAGCGGGTCATGGTGGCTCTGGCTCCCACTAGGAGCAGCAGCTGGCCTGCAGGGAACAGAATCATAGGAATCAAAGACTGGGGAGCCCCATCCAGAACCCTGCTCCAGGAAGGCAGTCTTCCATAGGGCCAGCCCCCATGGAGCTGAAAGAGCTGCTGCCACTCCTGGAAACCACCTAGGCAGCGTCACAGACCTGGGAATTCTCACTTCTGTTGATATTCCACCCAAACCACAGAGAAAACCAACGTCGTCAGGGTTATGCCTGTTCCGAACCTTGAGCCAGAAACTGCTGGTGATCAAAGTCCCTTGTCCCAAAACACCCAGAGAATGCACACAAGCAACAGAAGCAGACAGAGCCCTAGGGTGTGGATACCCCTCACTTGGGGGCTAGTGATGACAGACTCAAAAGGAAGACCAGGAAGCCAAGTGCCAAAAGGAGACCCACATACAAAGGCTACCAAATATCTCCAAGAAAGAAACGCGGAGACAGGCAGGCGGACAGGCTGTTGCTCAATGGGCAAGTAATGAGACTAGGGAAGAAAAGGAATGAGATTTGTTACATTTGAAGAGGTCTAAGCAAGAAAAGAAACCAGCACCCTACTACATAGGTGTGGAAACTGAGGCCAAAGGAGAAAATGCTCAAGCCAACAGTGAGGATCATATTAGCAAGGCCCAGGCTACCCAATGGGGGTTCTGGGCACTGCCAGGAGAGAATGGGGAGACTCAGTGGAGTACAGTACCTGAACCGACAGGGAGAGTCGAAACTGGACAGCACTCAAAAGAAGACCGGGCACAGTGGGCAGCAGAGGGCACAGAACCCGAAGGAAGAAATGACCAGGCTTAAAACCAGTTTCATGCCCTGGCACCTGCAGGCAAGAGCACTGGACAGGGCCAGGACTGGAGCTTTGAGCAAAAAGAGCTAACACCTAACCTAGGGTGGAGCCTGGGAGTCACTGGGAGGTACCTCCGGATGGAGCAGGACATCCCATGCCAGTCTCCAAGGTTCTGGGCACCTCGGGTTTCACTAACATCCGGGAGGAACGACAAGACTTGGACCCATATTCTCAGATGTCAGCAAGATACTAACTGCAAAGGCATGGGCCCTGCATGGAAAGGAACACCGGGTGAGCCCCTTCCCTCAGGGCTTGTCCAGAATGAAGAACAAAGGGGTCAAAAGTTATCAGTTGCTGCTACCATCCAGATACTCTCCTGAAACTCCAACATGCTCATCCGTTTAATCCCTATAAAGACCGTGACGAGTAACTCCTTTTCCAGGGAGGAGACTAAAGCTCAGAGAGATTGAGTCACTTGTCAAGGGCCACGCAGCCTCTAAGGAGTGGAGTTTCTGTTCTGGAGCATGGAGATGAAAACAACATCACTCAGATCCCCAAGAACAGACTGGGTGGCATCATATTCCACTAGCGGTTCTCTAGACCCCTCAATCCCATTTGGAATAAAATATACAGCACAAACTGTCCTCAAGCTGGCAGTCAATAGCAGACTTTTAAGGGGCAGGGTAGTCTTGAAGCTCCCACATCGGAAGATTCCTTGCAGGTCATCTGTGTAGGGAAGGCAAGCATGTGTCCCGCCTGAGCCTTTCCTTTCACCTGTGCCCATGGCAGAGTTCTATAATCAACCACAGAGCTTTTGCCCACTGTAGCCCGGAGCAGCTAATGCAGTCACTAACCCTCCATCAATCTTAGCATGAGAGGCTCTAAGAAGGCTCTCTGCCTCAGTCACAACGGAAATGGGAGAACAGGCAGGCAGGAAGCACCAAAGTTCTCCCTCATGCCAGGCCCTCCCTGCCCAGACAGCAAACCTGTGGTAGCAGGCGATAGGAAGGGGCACTTGCAGAGATGGCCTGGCCAGAGCTAGGGGCACATGACCAGTGAGGAAGCTGGTCTCATTGGTAAAATTAAGTATGGGTGTTCAGGGGTTGGAAAGTTGAGAGGGCTGACATTTCTTTCTCTAAAACTGGGAAGATGATTCTCTGGCCATTCTTCCAAGCCAGACACTCTGGTCAAATCGTCGGACAACCTTTGCCCTCATTCCCAGCAAACACTTGGGGTCAGTGCATGCTCTGGACTCCTGCTCCAAGCCTTTGCTAGGCTTGAAGGAAGTAATGGCCACTCCATGCCAGGATGGGTAGGTCGGTGCTGCTCCCCATCCCCCACCCCTCACCACTTCACAGTCCTTGCCCCGATTCTAGCAGCCACATCAATGTTTCTGCCTGAAAGCTCTCTGGCCATTAAACCACGGTCTGCCCATGCTCAGGGCAGATTGGGAACCAAAACCACCGGGAGCAGGTGAGTAAACAGATCCACTCCCTGCCCCTGGCATGAGATGGCTCTGCAGTGCAGGTTCCACACGTCACCTTGACTGGTTAGATCCCCAGCTTATTCTAGCTCTAATCACCTGCACCCCAGCAGTAACCCTATCAATAACATGCCCTTGCCACCCTTTATCTGTTCTTCTCTGCCTTGTCTCCATGCTCACTCCCCTCTGGGATTTCCTAATTTTGCCTCCCGTGAAGCTACCTACACTGGTAGCTTTTTCCCTTGGACTGTCCTCATGGGGCCTCTAGTGTCTCTCATTCACAAAGCCTCCTTGAGTTCCAATATCTCCTCCAGGATGATCACATCAACAAGCAGATGGTACAGCACCTTTTCTCCAAGATGTTCTCCACCTTCTCTCCTCTCCTACCCACTCTATGAAGACCTCTAGACTC